GAGAGAGAGAGAGAGAGAGAGAGAGAGAGAGAGCGAGCAGCAAAAACGTTACAGATGTTGGCATGTGTGTCATTTCCTGTGTTTACAAGCTGGAAGAGTTTCAGGGAAGTATAGCAGCTGGGTGGAGCCGAAGAAGAGAATTTAAGGCATTTGGGCAGATATCTAACAATAAGCAGTAGGTGTGTGTCTGTGTGTGAGAGAAAATGTAAGAAATACAGAGAGCCCATTATTTGTTCAGATGGCTCAGATTAAGTTGGTGAGAAATGAAACCTCAAGAGCAGCTGAACATACACATGCAGAGGAGGCGATAGTCTTTGTGCTGGTATGTAGGCATCATTTTTTACCCTGAATGTGACCCTTACATACCATCTTTGCCCCAATCCATCTCATGCCAATAACAAGTGTAAATGACTAATTATTATGTAATTATTATGTAATTAATGATTGATCAATATTATTTACTCCCTCTTGATCGCAAAATTTTTGTATTATTTTATGAGCTACTGATTGGTGGGTTTGTTCTTATACCCAGAGCCTTGAATACTGCTGAATAGTCAAAGCTGGTAGTATCCCAGGTACTCACACCGTGTCTTTAGTGCCAGTTGTAAGAACAGCATTGCTCCAAGCTCATCTCTTCTTAACCCAAAACACAATCCTTTCCTAATCCCAACTTTCACAAAATAGTTTGGCGGTTAAACTAAGAGCCATCAAAGCAAAAGTAAACAATAAAAAGTGGAGCAAAACAGGACACAAACTGCTGTCTAAGAGTTCACAGTATTTAAGCCACCAACAGTTCACACAAGAAAAGTGCTACATCAGTACCTGACATGTCTACTGTGCTTAAAAGTTTTACATTTTTAAAGTCTTGAGCCACATTTTTTTTATACTTCTATATTTTGCTTCTAAGGAGCAGAATTGCTTGTAGTCTTGAGCAATAGCTCTCCAGGCTTTCTGAAAATGTACCGACCATTGTTGTTTTTAAAAAAAAACATTTTTATATTTATCTTTAGGCATTAAAAAAAAAGAATGCCAATGATAACTCAGTTTGACAGACAAAGAGTATTTTTTGAACCTACAAAGGAATTTTCAATGCACTATTAGCCAGAAATGTGTGCAATTAATCTTCAGAACATTTGAAGAAATTGCACAACTGAAGGAGAAATTACAAAGGAACTGGGCATTGCATCAGTAGCTACAAGTGTTATGGATCCAAATTTAAAATTTGTGGTACAAATGATAGTTGGTATGTATGGAGGAGGTCAGGGTAGAAGTTCAACACTAAGTGTTCAACACTGTGGAGGCTCTGTCATGGTTTGGGGATCTTTTTTAAATTGGTGGAATTATGACTGCAGAAAAGTACCATCAGGTTTTGATCCACCATGCAATACCATCTGGAAAACATCTTCATTTTTCACGACTACAGGGATCATGGTCACACTGCTAATGTAGTGAAAAGCATACCTGATAGAAAAACCCACAATAGAAGATAATCGGTCATGGATTGGCTTCCCCGGAGCCTGGACCTCATTATTATTGAAACAGTGTGGGGACAGACAATGAAACAAAAGGGAGTCAACATCCAAATAAGGGCTCTGAAGTTCCTTCAGGAAGCCTGGAGAACTATTTCTGGAGGCTACTTAAAGAAATGACAAGTAATCTGCGTAAGAGAGTTCAGGCTGTGTTGAAGAATAAAGGTTATCATACCAAATACTGACTTTGAAGCTTATTAGAATATAAATCTTTTTTTCTTTATATATTATATTTTAGTGTGTTTTTACCTATTTCAGTAATTTGCTCCATCTATTTCACATTTCACAGTAACATCCCGACAGTCTTTGTAAACTGTTTGTTAACCAGTCAGTAAACATTATTGTTTAGTTGCTTATTAGCCGTAAAAAGTTTAAACAGGGCCCAGTTAACCATAAATTCACTAATTATGAACGACAGCTCATAGCGTTTTCTTGAGCCACATGCACATACACCCTCCCAGTGACAGACGTGGCCTATTTAAATCCTCAAACACGCAGCTTTGCAGCTTTTTCTGATTTTTTGTGGAAACATCTGGATCCTATAACATACCAAAAACTCTCATCTGGAAATACAAACCGATACATGCTCCAGGCGATATCCACAGTTATCCATGAAGGTGGTCAGTCAGTTGCTCTGTTTACATTTCATAACGGACTGAAAGGAAAACATACTGTAGAGGGGCGGGCGAGAACCAGAATAAGATGTGGGGAGAGCGTGGGAGTTAGAGGGGAAAAACAAAGCCTTACATTGTTTACCGGTACACTTCTTGTTTACAAGCCCTCTAGAGATTATGTGATTTACAAAATGTGTTGACTTTTTGGTGTTACACTTATTGTAAGCAGCTGTGGACGAGAGTCTGCAGCTAAATAATTAATGGGAAAATGTAATTGAGAGGAGATTTGGAAAAAGGGGGTGGAGAGAAAATGTTGATAAAGGAGAGGTAGAGGGAAGAAGAGAAAGAAAGACAGCAGAGAATTTTTCAAATTCCTTTCACTGTTTATCATTTCAAATGAGGATATTTGCAAGGATGAAATAAAGACTGACAGACAGCGAGGGAGCTGGAAGCCAGAGGACAGTATTCACAGATCATTTCACATGCCATGATTGGAGGATTGGCTAAAGGAGAAAGAAACAAGCTGACGAATGATTTAAAGCAGCCACTAATGATTTTTCCCCCATTATTGACTGATCATTTGTTCATGCTTTCCTCTCTTTCCTCCTGCTGCGTGTTTAGCTTAAACAAATTAAGATGCAAACCACGTCTGTGTGTCGTTATGTGCTATTCAGACACACAGCATGGATAGTACAGCCTCTCGGCTCCCACATAGAGCATATTGACATGTAGGTCAATGAGCCCAAGTGAGCTCATGAGTATCCCTCCCTATTGGTCTGTTTTGAAATGATTTTCAGAGACCTTAAAAACAGAGCGGGACAAAAAGCTGAGACGCAGGATGTTCATCTCTGCTCCTCGGTGGATGCAGCACAGATTGTTTAAGCTCACTCGTGTGGTGTAAACAGTCCCTTTGGTTGCAGGAGCACGCTGCTGAACTGAGTCATCGCTCCCATTTTTCACACTCGTATCATATCAGGTCTGGAGCTGCTGTTTCATTTGTTATGACTGGATCGCAAGCAAAGGCGACCAGCTTTACGGTTTGTTACATTTTGTAAGAGAACATCCTGTTGTTTGCCTTTTGAGGTTTTAGTTTTAGTGCCGGCTTAATAATTCATAATGCCTTGAAATGCATCTAAAATGCCGTTGGGCTTCAAAGGTTTTACTGTGCTTATGTCACCACTGATAGCCTGAGCTGAGTTGGGTTGAAACACAGATTCATTGTCACATGTTTTAATTTGTTATATATTTCCCTGACCTGTGAGCTTGGTAGGCTGGCGACTTGTCCAGGGTGGACCTGGCCTTTCACCCTATGGCAGCTGGGATAGCTTCTATCCCTTCCTAACAGCCCTGAGCTGGATAAGCAGTTAAGAAAATGGATGAATGAATTGCTATTGAGGCTTTCTGAAAGTCAAAGACAAGTTTTAACTCATGGCAATGATGCTTTTGTCTCTCACACAGTGCAACAAGTGATACACTGTCAAAATGAATAGATCAACTTGATAGATATTCTCATTGACTTCTCAGCTGAGGGTTAGGTTAAGATGACTGACAGCTACCTCAATTCTTCTCCAAGGCATAGAAATAACTGATAAAAGTAATAATGTCTCTCTATAATTAAGACTTCAGCAGTAGATCCTTTCATTTGTGTAAGTCAAAAGGTGATGCCTGCTTGATTGCATTAAGTCCCCTCTTTATTGTGCTCGCCAAGTTATATGTGAACAATTTTTGTGTGAAAAAGGTCATATAAAAGAAAAGCAAAGGGTAAACGTAAAGAATAAGAAATGCTTCGTCACTCATCCAACTGACTTCTTCACTCTCAGCTGACTGCAGGTTTGCCCAACCTTTAAACAGTACATTTGCATAATGACAGAAACCAGCTCCATTGCAGAGAGAAACGTGCAATTTCACCCAATGTGGCCAGTTTGTATATGGAAGATGTGGAAAACAGGGCTCTGTTATCGTATCTTGGAAGACCACTGAGCCTTTGCTTGAGGTTTGTAGATAACTCGGTGGACAAACACATCATGTTCATCGGGGAGGATATTAAAAATGACAGGCTAGCCTTCTTAGACTGTGAGATTTCCATCAGTAATCTGGAACATTTAAAAGTTGATGTGTAGCATAAAACAGCACATACGGATCAGTAT